ATATTTGAACAATCTGTCTTTTATTTCTTTCATTTTTGCTAACCAAAACTAAGCCAAAAATATTTATGGACTTTTGTTCAGTAACCAAAATAAACGGTTTAAATATTTCAATTATTGATTTTAATCAAATTAATATTAAATACTTAAAAATTTAGAATTTTTAAGGGATATAAATATAACCAAATGCAAAAAAAGAAATGAATAAATAAAGGTAAAATATGAATTTTGAAGTTTACTTTTTTTTTTTTTTTTAACAATTTTGTAAAGGATCGGATTCAGACAAACCGTTGTCTGAGAAAGAAGAATGTACTTAAATATGGTTTGCTGTCACTGAGTCCGAATGTCCAAGTGCTTGAAGTTTACTTTTTTACTTTTAAATATATTTTAAGTTTAAATACTAAATTATAACAAAATTTATAAGATAAAACTTTGAAAATAAAATTGAATAAGATAATTTTTATGTTTATTTATACTATTTAAATAATAATAATTTATTTATTAATATAAGATTTTATTTTTTGATTATATATTCAATTTTGGTTCCTCAATCTTTTAACTATTAATCAACCAAAAATTTTCACTTATCCAAATAAAATTAAAAAAATAACCAATAATTATTTATAACTAACTATTTAATTAATTTTTATCAATTGTTAATTATCCATTTAGTTAACTAACCGTTTGCTCAACCTAAATAAAAAGGGTAAAACAGAAGTCTAATTAATATTTAAATCTTAAATAATGAAATATAATTTCAATTATTTTTATTTATCTCTTATTATTTTTCCTCTATATTTATTGATACCAACATTTATTTCTATTATGAATTATAAAAATTGAGATAGGTTTTTTATATCTCTTGAACTTTAACTTATGTTATTACTTTAAATATCATACAATTTAAACTTAAAATTTTTTATTTTTAAAAAAATATTATTAAACTACTTAAATTATTAATTTAATTTATTAATTAAACTCCAACTAATAGTTCAACTTAGCCTTCAAATTCAA